CCAACCAGATCTGGAATCAAATCTTGGTCCTGCCACTTAGTAGCCATATGATCTTGGTCACGCTATTTGACCTTCCTGAGTTTCAGTTTCCTCGTCTGCCAAATGGGAATAATAATAGCACTGACCTCATAGGGTTATGATGAAGATTAAATCTAATAATATATCTAAAACACATACCTGGCACAATGCCTAGCATGTGTCAATGCTAAATATATTAATTGATTTGTTATAATTAGGAAATGGAATTATTGTTCCTTCCTAGGAATTTTTCTTTCCTAGGATATTTCCATTGATTGGGTAGTTGCAGAGGTTTGTCTTACCTATTTCATTGTGCTCTATCTAATTAGCTGGCTGAGTGGTTAAAAACCACACTATTGTAGTCTTAACAACTGTCTTCATTTGTTAGTGCCACACTCAAGAATTTGATACCCACCCTAAATCTACCTCTAATCTAAAGATTTAGATCAATAACCTCATTTTCATAAGAAATCTATTAAAGTTATAGATTAGTGAGTATTAGTGGTAAACTGGAATAGTATGTTTGCAGTTTGAAAAATGCTGAAATGTATCTGTAAATATCTACTTATTCACCATTTCATCCATGGGCACTGAGCAAAGGATTTGTCCTACAGAAGACAGTTAGTATTTGCTGACCAACTGACTGAATTGTTTTTATATTGTTTTAAGATAGTAAAATGTCTTTAGAGAAAGGCTCAATCAATTTTGCTAAGTGGTTTAACATTAGATTTTATTTTCAAGACTTTCTTCTGTAGTTTCTTATTTGAGTGCCTGTTCTGAAACCAGTTGCTAGGAGTGGAAGTTTGTCCACCTCGTTTGCTAGCTATGTAACCCTAGACATGTTATCTGACTTCTTGATGCCTCAGTTTCCTTGTTTATAAAATGAGCATCATAATAGGGTGAGAGGATAGAGGAAGTAAATTCATATAAGAGAAATGCTTAGGACAGTGTCCAATAATATATTAAAAAACCTGAACACTGTCATTATTATGTTGCCACTACTATAGCTGCTGCTTTTCATCAAATTCCCTCAATATGTTGGATTTTATTATTTTGTTGTGCCTTTTCCCTACCCTAAAATTAGTTTAAACCTCTTTAACTTAGAAACATGAATAGAAAACTTTATCTTGCATATAATGTAACCCTAAATTTTAAAGATTCTATTCTACAGAGTAGACTAAAATGTTGTGAATTTTTATTCTTCCATTTTCATTTTTGGAGGCACAGGTAAAGATGGATTTATTTTGAGTGGATGTGAAAATAATCATCATCAATATGGCTGCAGCATTTTCTCTCTGCTCATTCTGTGCTCATCATTTTTTCAGTTCCAAATATCATTTGCATGGACCTGATGATGTTGAGTATGGATATTGCAAAGGAGTGATAACTTCCCTTTCCTATTGAAGCTGAAGCCTCAAAGAGAAGATTAAAGAAGTGTTTGTTATCTATCTGCACAGGCCTGATATGAAATTCTCAGAGGCTTTTAGGATAAACAGAACTCTCTGTGCATGTATTTGTATGCTTTCTCTTCCATATACTTCTGTTGTGATCTTTGTATTTTGGTTTAAATTTTCTGGTTTCTGACTTGTTGAAATCTCTGGCTAAAAAATAATTGTCTTTAGGGTGAAGGATGAGAATTAGACGATGTTGGCAGTTTTTGACTAAATGTCTCCTAAGGAGTGATTCTAGTTTAGAATCATCTTTCCAGAGAGTTGATGAAGGGCATCCGTTGGATATGCTTAACAAGATAAGATCAAGACTTTAAGTGTGTCCAGCAGAGAATAATCCATAGTGCCCCACAGAGAGAGATGAGGTTGCTCACCTTTGGGCCTTTCCTTTTAGAAGTGTCATGTATGAGTTCTAGGGTAGAAGGGTGTGTGTGTGTGTGTGTGTGTGTGTGTGTGTGTGTGTGTGTGTAGACTTTCCTTAAGGTGTTACATAATTAATACTTAGAATAAGAAAAGACTGAAAAAAGGCAGGTGGTAGGATAGTTTCATATCTTCTAAAAATAAGGGAAGTGACATTCCATTTCATGCCATTCCATGTCAAGTTCTATATGTGATTTATGTTGACAGAACTATTTAATTACAATATCATAAAGACTAAAGCAGATTCTTCTAGTTAGCATCAAGTAGATATACCTGCTGCTCTATTTGAAACTGTTAAATTGAGTTCTTTTTCTATAACCAATCTTTTAAAAATATGGCTACTACTGGCAGAAGCAATACTCTTTTTTTTAATATATATTTTTAAAGATTTATTTATTTATTTATACAAGCACTGGGTACAGTCAGAAGCATGGGAGGGTGAGAGAATTCACCAGAGCCAGAGCGGGGAGCAGAGCAGGCGGAAGGACCGAAGCACACTGCTGAGGGGAGCAGTGGGCGGCAGGAGAGGTCTGTGCACCATGTGGGAACCTCCTCCGGTGGCTGGGGAGCAGCTGGGGATCGAACAAGCGCTGCAGAGGCTGCGGGTAGCTTTGCAACCCAGCGCTCAACCGCTGTGCCACCGGGGAGGCCCAGAAGCAATACTCTTAGTTTATGTGAACATACAATATCTTATTAGCTAACAAGAAAAACCAGAAAACCAGGGGCACTTAATGGTAGGTAGAGAAGGGAACTAAAAATATGTGTGAGTTGGAGTGGAGATTGTGGGGTAGGGAGGGCAAAAGAAGAGGCTGAAATCATCAACAACATATTTTACCTATTTAATAATTTGCTTGGAATTAGCTTTTTATTTTTTTAAAGATTTATTTATTTATTTTATACAAGAACCGGGGTACAGGCCAGATGTGCAGGAGGGTAAGAGGATTCACCAGAGACAGAGTGGGGAACAGAACAGGAAGGCTGATGAAACACACTGCTGAGGGGAGCAGCGGGTGTGACAGGAGAGGTCTGCTGCGCCATGTGGGACCCTCGCTGGCTGGCTGGGATTGACCCAGCGCTGCAGGCTGCGGACAGCTGCCAATGCATGGCTAAGTTCTTTTCCTGGGCCAATGAATGAGAACAATGTAGGTTAACAAATTTCCTGCTGCTGCCATCATCAACATTTTGGCAATAGGAATGTCTGAACACAGACATACATGTGTACACACTCACACCCTAATTTCTATTTACATGGAATTGGAGGTTGGGTAATGATTGGAACTGGGGACTAGGGTACTGTCATAGAAGAAGATGGAAAATTGCTCACCCTTTTGATGATTCAATTGATTAGTTGTGTTGCATAGAAAGGAGTTTTACAGAAAACTCTTCTCAGTGGACAGCTCCCTGGGTAGCTGTACTCTCTGCTATGGAGTTATTGACCGATCATACCAACACATACCACTTACTTAAGTTACAGCCAGTTCCAGTGCCCAGACATTTCCGTGGACACTCTTTTTCCCAGCTGTTGAGTTTTACATTTCCCCCCTTCCTCAAGCGACTCCTCCCCTTTTCCTCTGCAGATATTGAAGCTGTCATGAACTTTCCCTGTCCTCTAACCCAAGCGTCTTACATTTTCCTTCAGGTTGCCAGCCCAGAGCTGTTCTAGAGAAGGAAAGGAATAAGAAAAGTTCATTGTGAGATTTCTTCTCCACCTTCTCTTCCTCATCTTCTGTAACATCCCACAAAATTCATCTCTGGATTATGGCACCCTCCCCCCCAACTAATCTCCTTCCTCTCCATTTCTGAATTTTTGTCTTATAAAGAAAGAGCCTAGATAGTCAGCTGATGATCCTCTCTAAAGTAGCTATACCTTATTTCAGCTTTGTATGTACCGGAAGGCACACCATTATCACCCATGTGTTGCCTTTTTAACATTGTTTTTGGGCTGTGGGTCATTTTAAGGACTTTATAAAACTTCAGACTTTCCTCCCAGGAGAAAGTGCTTATATGCATATACACACTCCAGAGATGTCAAGATGAGGATAGATACATGTTCACTTTATAGTGTCATGAAAGTCACTATGCCCATAGCAAGGATTGACATGTAGTGACTGTAAGCAAGATGGGAGCATGTGGAGGAGGGAGGGGAAGGGAGGAAATGAAGAGAGAAGCTATAGATTACACTTCTGAAAATTTCGCTATGCTATGAAGGGAAAGAGGATGGCAGATGGAGGGATATGAAATGGGGGAAGAAGGATTTACTTTATTTTTATATAAGCATAAATGCTGATGGAAAGGGCCGGGTTGAGAGGAAGAGGTTGAATATATACAAGAGAAAATCAATATAGAATAATGTAAGGTTCCTGTGAAGGCAGGAAGAAATGGAATCCAAAGTACAATGGACTTTTGTGGGTAGCCACCATATATAACATTGTTTCTGGGTGCAGGGATGGGGCAGAGGAGGATGCAATTTGGGTTCCAAATTAGTGACTTACAAATGATCCCTTCTGTCACTGCCATTTCATTGGCTTTAAGACTTCAAAGGCTGTCAGTTCTGCCAGCCATTACCCCAAACAAGAGAGGAAAAGGGATGATACAGTGTTCAGCAGGAGCCCCAACCTTGGCTTGGAAACTAAAATCTTAGGTGACCTTGAGTTGCTTGTTCATGGCCTAGGAGGTATTTGAGGATGTGGTAGTAGTGGGGAAGTTGGTTGTCATAGCAACTGGAGATGCTACTGGTATTTGGTGTCCAGGACCAGTGATGCTGATTGTCCCATAATACACAGGATGAGTTGTTAAAACAAAAAGAAATCCTGCTGATAGCCTCCTAGATCTCCTGGTGGGAAATCGTGAACCACAGCCAGGTAACCTCTTAGGACCTTTCCCAATCCGAAGTCAAATTTATGTAATGAGTTATAGCTATGTCACCATCATGCCTTTGAGAATCTTTCAAATCTTAAGGAACAACCCTTTGATTTTTCCCAAAGTAGGTCATGACTTGGAATAGTTATGGACAAGTTGGCAAGCTTTTTGGAATGGGTGCTATAGCCACTGTATTCCAACCAAGGTTGAGAAATCCAAGTTTAACTTTTCTCTGTTCTTTTCCTTGTATTTCAGGTACTCCTTGGATTTTCAGCTTCAAGGTGAGTCCTTTTTGGCCATTTATGATTTTTTACTAAAAATGTGTGTATGGTATTGTTTACTTCTATTTTTTTCTAAATAAGCCTCTCCACTGAGTAGCATTAGCCATTTCTGAGGAAAATTAGTGAAGTGTTTAATTAACCTTCACCCTGCTGTGCCCCCTTGCCCTGCTTTTTAGCAACAAGAGGCTCTGATGCTTCTGCCCTCTGAGTGGATCATTTTATAGAGCAAAAGCTGTAATATGCCTTTATGCCATGAACTTCGTTAGATGCCAACAGGATCTGCTACCATTCAAATAAAATGGTGGCTGAGTCCATAATAAAAATCTTGGGATGGCTCCAACTCAGCTAATCCTTCATTTGCTCTAGAAATAAATTCCAGTATGTTACCTCCTCGATCACAGTGCTCTTCCATACAGCCTGCCTGTCTGGCAGCAGAGAAATGTCAGAAATGGAGCAGTGTTGAAATTCCCACTAGAACAGTGTTATCACATTTTAATATGAGCCTCACTGCAGCCTTGGAGCTTCTAATTGCTTTCAAACCATTGTTTTCTTGCTTTTGCTTGATGAACCCAGCATCTGGCATAATTCTAAAAAGTACAACAGACAGCTGTGTGCAAAATTAAAAAAAAAAAAAAAGACAGGACTAGAACACATTTTAAAAAGGTTCAAAATTGGAACTTTTTTCCCTGAGTTCAAAGAGTTTGAGAGGTTATCTTTAAAGTATATGCCTCCCTTATTTTTAATACTCTAGTTGAGAATGTCAGAAACATCATTCTGAATATTAATGATTTTATCAAAAGTGGGAGATTTTTATTTTCTCAGAATCACCAAGAGTTATAGATGAAATTTGCAAATAGCTTTATGAATGATTTGTTCTGTAATTTTAAAAACAATGATAAACTTTTCCAAAAATTTTTCTTTTAATATTATCAGAGGTCTTAGTGACTAATAATAGCTTAAAGAAATTCCAATAGTGAATAATACTAGCTTTATTAAAATTTTAGTATTCTTACTCATACTTTGTATCAGTGTATTTCAGTCTATATAAGGTTTTCCTTAGAAGCTAACTATAAAAATAAAAATAAAAATAAAAATATAAAAATCATATATTTTAAAGCTTTTTTGCTCTTGCAAGTTAAAGTTGTGGCATTTGTCTTTTTAAGGTTTATTTTTATTTATTTATGCATACAAGAACTGGGGTGTATGCCAGAGGTGCAGGGCAGGGGGGATGAGAGAATTTATCAGAGACAGAGTGGGGAGCAGAACAGGTGGATCTACTGAAATAAGTGTTGAGGATAAAGTCAGTGGCATTTGTAACACTTTAAATAATGATATGATGTTATTGTATATCTTGCTGTCTGGAAACATTTGTGACTGCAAACACAGGTTGAGAATAGAGAATTATATGTAATAATACAGCAGTTTGCTTTGCAAAATGTGAAATAATGCTATTTAGACAATGGCCCTGTAGTTCAGGGTTTAACAGATGTTAAGCAAAATCCACAGTGGGCAGAACATGAATGTGAACTGGCACAAATGAATGGAATTGTGAGGATAGAATTAATTACCTGAAGGAGAAATAAAGAATTGGTATCAGAGTTGTGGTAATGTGTTGAGAAGAGAAAATAATTTTGGAGCATAACACAAGAGATTAAATGGGGCTAAAAAGAGAAAGGGTACATCTTACTAGGTTCTTGCAATGGTGGCATCACAGGCCTCTTCTAGCAGAGGGCAGCCTCTGCACACCTTCTCTGTCAGAGTGAGGGTAAGGGTGTAGCAGCCAAGGGGGCAATAAAACAGAATTTATTTAGATCAGAAAACTGTATTTTCTTCTTGACAACGATTGAACTTACATAGCAAAGTCTCTGCCCATTTGAAAGCAAATGTAAGGAAAGACAGCTTTGGGCCTCCTGCTGAGACATGGGGGCTGAGGGAGACAGGAAGGGTACATTTTACCTTGCTATTAGCTGACTGAGTGCTTCAGAAGCTGGTGAGGTGGACAGAAGCAGTTACAGGTCCACATTAGGTACCACAGGACAATTTAGGGTAATGAAAAGACTAGAAATGTGTAAGAAAAAGAACAGCCAGCATAATTTTAAAAGCCCTGGGAGCTAGATGGTATTGGGATGGGAGTGAGAAAGGACAGAAAAGATGGCTCCATTTTTAGCGTTTTAATCTATGTCAGGATTCTCTGTGCAGGTCGATGATGGAATGAATTTTATTAATTCTGTGCATTTGCCTAAGTACATAATTGTGTTCTTCAGGTACCAAAATTTGGTACCTAGAAGGAAAATTATCCTTAATTATAAAAGATCCCTTTTTTATAAATCCCTTTAGTAGCACATGTTTAAATATCTGTTATGGTGAGTTGGTATTATGTGCTAAAAGGGTAACCTTTAAAGACAGAGGCTTAGGAAAATGAACTGCCGAGATACAGAGGCTTGCAAGCCCAGTTTATGTTATCCATTATTTACTGTGGTGGAGGAGTGACCATTGACTAATATTAGGGAGAATCTTGGCCCATGAGAAGAAACATGGTGTGGTGGAAAGAGCGCCGGTACTGAGGCTTGACAGACCTGGCTTCAAATCCCATCTATACCATTTAGGTAATGGTCACTTGACCACAGCAAGTTGCATAATTTCACTGAACCTCAGTTTCCTTATCTATAAAACTGGAATGTGCCAGATAACTAAGTCCTTAAATCTTAAATGTTTTCTTATTTAACCCTCAGAACGGCCCTGCAATATAGGTACTGTTAATATACCCAGTTGACAGATGTGGGTACTGAGGCACAGAGAGATTAAGAGAATTTTCATGGTTGTTAATGATTCTAGCTTGGTCAGCCTGACACCATAAGTATACTAAAAAAAAAAAAAAAAAAGCTTTATTGAAATATAATCCAAATATCATAGCATTTTCTACCCTTTAAGCATACATATCAGTAGTTTTTAACGTAATTGCTAGGTTGTGCATTCATCACCCTACCCAACTTTAGAACATTTTCATCACCCCAGTAAGAATCCCTACAGTCTCAGTCCATACTCTTTATCACTGCATTGTAGTATGTCACTGTAGGGTTGTTGGGAGGATTAGCAGGAATATGTGTAAGCTCTAGTATGGTACCTAGACATGGTAAGCAGCAGGAAAATGTGGTTTCTATTTATGATAGTGTTAATGATAATTTTTCCCCTCACATTTCCACCCAGATTTTCCTATTGGCCCTCTGTCAACTCAATGATATGCATTAAAAAGAATGAAGCATATGTAAAATAAAACAACCCAAACAATTTATTACCTTAATGTAGAAAGGACATAGGTAAAAGTATTTTTAATCAGCTCAAATATGAGTGGAGAACACAGGAAAGGCTTTTAAATTTTTTTAATAAAACAGATTCCTTTGATAATTCAAGTCTGCTTACTTTAAGAATTTCTTCTACTTAATTTTCACCTTAAGTAAAAAATTTTTTTCAATGGGCTCTTTGCCGTGGAACTTTTACCACTTCAGTAATCAGATATTTCAAGGATGATATTGATCAGATGCCTAAACAACATTAATTTTGCCTGTTAGATATTATGACAGTGTCATTTTATGGCATTGAGCAAACTGATTACTTCATTTTGTTTAGTTTCTCCTTTTATAAAATGAATTAATTACTGATAATTATTGTTTAATCAAAATTTCAATTACAAAGTATAATGTTTATAATTCAAAATCTATTGCTATAAAAATATCTTAATGAATGTTAGAAAAATTACCCACCATGGACCCAGAATCTTAAAACAAATGACACAATATTAAATAATAACTTAGGAAGGACCTTAGGAATATTACAAATACATATATAAGTTAATCATATTTTGTCCAGTGGCCACTGACAATACATTGTGTAGTGCTAAATATGGGCCAGTGAAATTTCTTGGCCCCTTGAAGATTCTTTGAGTATCTGCATGGTTAGTGTAGAACTCTTGAGGAAAAGTATTCAGTATATTTCAATATAAAAATATTCCTTTGTGTAAATCCAAAAAAATCTTATTTTGAAATGGCAATCTTACATCCTTTGTCAAGATAAATTGATGCCTAAAAATATAGTTTAGCAAAGTGAATAATGTACCTAAGTTCACTGCCTCAGTATCTACAATAACCAAGATATGGAAACAGCCTAAGTACCCAACAACAGATAAGTGGATTAAGATGTGGTCTGGTTACACCATGGACTACTTAGCTATATAAAAAAAGATGAACTGGGCCTCTCCGGTGGCACAGTGGGTTGAGCGCAGCACTGCAAAGCTGTCTGCAGCCTCTGCAGCACAGGTTCAAGTCCCGGCTGGCCAGGAAGATAGCCACATGGCGCGGCAGACCTCTCCTGTCTCGCCCGCTGCTCACCTCAGCAGTGCTTTTGGTCCGTCTGCCTGTCCTGCTCCCCACTCTGTCTCTGGTGGATCCTCTCACCCTCCCACTCCTCTGACCTATACCCCAGCTACTGTATAAATAAAGTCTTTAAAAAAAAAGATATTTTTAAAAAATAAAAAAAGATGAGCTCTCGCCATTTGTGGCGACATGGATGAACTGGAGGAGATCGTGCTAAATGGAATAACTCAGAAAGAGATATACTAGATGGTTCCATTCCTACATGGAATATAAAGACACTAAACAAAGGAACAGATAAAACAAAAACAAACCCTAGAAATATGACTGCAGTATCCACACTACTAGAGGGGATGGAGAGGATTGGGGAGCAAAGGGTAGATAGAGAAGAATAATGGACTGTGGTGGAGGCTGATAGGTGCTCGGGTTGTGAGTGTGGTGGGTGACATACATCTGAAGAGGTGTGATCCTATTCCCCTAAATTATAAAGTATTGTAAACCAATGCTACCTTAAAAAAAAGTTACAGAAAAAAAGCGAACGGTGCAACGTGAATAAATAAAACATTATAAAGTCACATTAGCTATAGGTTAAAAGAGACTTAAAAATCATATAAGCTAACACATGCCCTTGTT